ACATGAGGTAATGTCAGATTCTCAAAACTCCTGAAAATTATAATGTTTATTATCACCACAAAAACATATTAATGATTGGCAATTTTTGCAGTTGTTTCACAGATTACAAATTAATATTAATTGACGATCTGTCTATTAATGAGAGACATGTCAATTAATTTCATATAAAATCTTGGGATAATTGTTGTTAATAAAATAAGAAAATTCACAAATCTCACTGTCCTCAGATGTTAACTCTCATGTATACACAAAAAGTATAAAGAACAGCCTTAGAATTCTTTCAAGATCATTGAATACTACTTTAAAATTCTTTTGGAGTTATTTATTGACTTGACTTATAACAACATGTGGTTCATTTGGTAAAATAAAGTTTTTTTGTTAATAAACCAATAAAAAAAAAGTATAGCTCTGTCAGAATACTTAATAGTGTTGGCTGAAAATTAAAAAATTCCAAATTTTTATATGTTATGAACTTTTTTAAATCTCAGCTTCCTACATATAAACATTTTCAAGAAACATTCCAAGCCCTTTAATATTTTGATACAATAATCTATGAGATTTACTTTATACATACATAAAAAGAATAAAGTTTGTAATACCAAAACATCATGCCTTATTATTTGTTAAACATTGTCAACTGACGATTTTTTACCATTTTTGCCCCATTGATCACCAATAATTCTTTAATTTATCAACATATGTATTTTCAATCTGCAAAAGCATATATTTATATGCCATATCAGTAACTTATTTTCACATCATCCTAAGAAATTTACATATCATATAATGGCATTGATTTCACCTTAATTCCAATCTTACAATGCCTAATTAGCTTTGAATAAAAATCAGTTAAGTCTGCAGTATCAGAAAAAGCATTTATACTTTTCTCTATTGGTTTGTTATTATGTAAGTCATGTTGAATGTTATTAAGGTCCAATTCCTTAGTACCAAACTTTACGCTAAAATAAATACATATCTCTTAGCTCTCTTAGCATCATGGTAGGACATCAAAAGATTTTTTTAGTGGTCATTACCTATTAACATTTAAGATGAATGGTGACAAGAAATCATGTTTTTGTAATTTTTTAAATTCATCATCATCTATTGAGTAGTATTATATAGACAAATGATGTAAAAGAAAGAGAAAGTTTTGAAATTGTGAACAGAAAAAAAGATAAATTGATAATACATGCTTACCTTGCATTCCTAAGGGAACCACACAAACAAATGATATACCATATTTAATTACAATAATAACCAAAGAGATAAATAAACAAATGAAATAACAATGGAATGAATGGAAAATAATTTTTTATGCAATTTGTGCAATTTTTTTATTACCTTCTTCTTCACCTATTTTCTTCAGTAATATTTCACTCCACTCCAAAACTTTTTACTCCTAATTGTCTCTCCTTCCTCCAACTTTTCTTTTTCCTTCTCTAACCCCTCCTTTTCCCCAATGTAATCTTCCTCCACCTTCCCTCTCATCAAGCCATCTAACGTATTTTTCCACTCTTCCTCCCATTTTTCCAACTTTTCAATCACCTCTTTGTGCTTCTTCTTAGCATCATTTAAATTGTTTTCAACTTTTTTGTATGTTGACATTTTTTTAAAAAAAAATTTAGATCATAATTGTTATTGTTTATGCATGATTTTAACCAATAATAAATTAGTGTAGGGGTTGGGTGCATCCGGGTAATCATTAAAGTATTCAGATATTCATTTGATCATTAATTAACTATTCAGTGAATGATTATTCATTGATGAATGGAAACCAAATTAGGAAAATTTATCTTCTGCTACAACTTCTGTATTTGTTATAATAATATTTATTTAAATATAAAACTATTGATTTACTTCTCTATCTTTTTCATCACTATCATCATCATTATTAACAAATCTGTTAGATTCATCGATAACCATTTATATTTTTTTCTAGATTAGTACATTGCAGCCATAAAAAAATATATAATTGTACCTACATTATTATTTGAAGATTCCAATTTTTTTGGTTGATGATGAATGTAGCTGCTGAAAGAACAAATTTGTCCAACTATCTATAATTATTTTTTGCCAATGTTTAATAGCAAAATACTTTGATAAGGTTTAGTGGTCCTCATACCTCCAGTTTGAATTCAACCTATTATAACATATATTTATGTATGTATCTACTACCTCTAAAAAATATGATAATATGGGGCATACTGCAACATAACCAGACAAAGTGAACATTGGTATTACAAAGGATTAAAGGGATCAAAATTTAATCATTATTATCACAATTGCATTGTAATTATAATTTAACAGTTTTATAATGTTCCATTTGTTAATATTTTAACTTTTTTTGGACACATGTGAAGCATTTTTCACATTCATAATGAAAGTATGAAAAATTATTACCACTGTGCAAGTTATGATGAATGTAATTTTTCTCATCAATCAATTCATTTGTAATTAAAAATATAGTCATTTTATTAAATATCCATGAAACTATTAAAAGTTTATCTTTCTGAAATCAAATAAAGTTATTTAATCTTATTTTTTCAAGTAATTCCTTTAAAATTTTTTGTTAAATTATTATCTAAATCTCTATTTTCAGCATATTTAAATACCAACCACTAATCATTCCCATAAGAAATAAATAGAAATCAATGATAGAAATTAAATAAATAAACAATGAAAATGTTTTCATTACTATTTCAATAAGTTCTTTTTCTTTGTTCACCATCAGTATTCTTCTCAAATAATTTATTATTATTATTATTGGTTTTTTTCTTAGGTTTAGTGCTAAATATTAAAATATCCTCTTCTGATAGTGGTAGAAATTCATCTCCTAAATCAATGTTCTCTTTGTCCTCAAAATTTCTCTGTCATTAATGTTCAAATATCTACTTGATTCAGGATGATCACTGATTTTCCTTTGAACTGGAATTTCACTAGTAGTATTACATTAAGTCATGTGGAATGAAAAAATTTTTGTTATTATTTACATAAAAAATATTATTCAATACTAATATTTAAAAAAACAGTATTTTGTTTGATTGAATTCTATTTTTTAATTTTCTTTTTGACATTTCAATTCCTCATTGTAAATTCTTTAAACTGTTGTTCAAAAAACAAGTTTACCTTTTCAATAGCCAATAAAGCACCTTGACTTGAAATAGGAGATGTCTCTTCAATGTCTCTTCAATGTCTTCTTCATCCAGATTTTCTTCATTGAAATTCGACATAGAAATTAAGGATACCGGCTGCAACTTTTGATGATGGTTGCTACCATCTTTGCGTCATATAAAAACGATTGCAACCACTGGTTGCAACCACCTTTACAACCATTTTGTTTCCTTTTTTGGATTGCGACATGGAACACTAATAGAAATTATCATTTATTTCAAATAATTGTTTTAATTTTTTTGTTGGATTTTTTATAGATTTTTATTAATAATATTAATATTAATTTGTGTTTCGCAGATCATGTGTAGAAAATTTATTATAAAATTGCAGAGATAATCATTTATAATCATTAATTGCTTATAATAACAATTGGTCAACTTCAAAATGCTAAAACAAAAAAAAATCATCTCATTTTAAAAAATTTAACCAACAGTTTTATTGTCCATGACTCAAGCTTCAAAACTTATCAGCTGGTTTTTTCTTAAACTGAAAATTGGCTGAGCCTTAGCATTTTGAAAAGTCCGAATTTTGTTATACACTTGAGAAATTGAGACTAAAAAGTTTAACCAACATTAAAAAAAATCATTACCAAATTTGGTAGTGAGATTACACGAAAATTATTGTTGTTTTTCTGAGCATAACTTTCAAATTTAAAAAATCTATGAAAAGAAAATTTGAGACAATTTTTTTTTAAATTAATAGACTCCCCTTTTAAAGCTGAATTGAATGGTGGTGGGTTTTTTAAAATCCGATGTGTGGATCACATAATATTTTAAAAATTTTAACTTTTGAGTATAGATGATCTGCACTGTATGGTTGGCTCAGTCTAAAGACCTCCTATTGCTGCACTATGTGCTCAAATTTCAAAAATGCAATAAAACTTTTCGAAAAAGGTCTTCATGTGATTTTGGTTAAAAAATTATTTTCCTTCCTGCCAAATTAGATATAATTGTTGAGTATTGGTCTAAATTTAGTAACGATGATCGAAAACTAGTCTAAATTTAGCAATGATCTGATGCTCAAATTCCTCATGAGTATATACATGTTTTAAAAAAGAATAGAACTCTACAACAAATAATTTTTGAGAAAATCTCTCATTACATTAAAATTAAAGACCTCTTATATCAATTAATAGAGCTATTTTTTAAAAATGTAGGACAGAAAATGACTTCTATACTTTTAAAATTTGCACAAAATTTAGGATGTCTTTAGACCAAGCCAATTATAGCAAAATTAAAAATTTTTTTTCATAACTTTTTTTTTATTTGGTAGAATAAATCTCAAAAATTCTGAAAATATAAAAAAAATGTATTTATAACCTTTTGTTTTTTCTGACTTTTATATTAGGCATCGCCAGATTTTACATATAAAATTGAAATATCAAAAAGCATAGAGAAATTTATTTTTTTTGTTTTTGTTTTGTGCTAAACATATAGAATATGGGTTTTTATTACAAAAAACCTTTTAAACAATTTAATATAAATATGTCAGTCATTATCTTTTATTCTTTTCATTATTATCAAAATCCATTTTTTTATTAAAGCTCTTATTATTTGTTATAAATAATGTCCATAATATATACTAGAATAAATATAAACTTTGGGAATAAAAATTACTATGTTTTTATGTGTGTGCTGATATGCGTTGTGGTTTTAATTAAACAGAGGCATGAGATTCCATTTTGAGGGAAAATTTATCTCTGCAGATCACTAATAGATTTCTATTATTAAAGGCAATCAAATATAAAAAACATTGTACAAAAAAAATTGCTTTTTACAGCATAGTGGAAGTTTGTTGTTACACGAAATGTCATACAGAACTCATTGCTCCTGAAACTTCACCAGTATGTAGTTGTTACCTCTCTAAATTGGAGATCAAGTTCAGATCCAATTCAAATCCAGTTTATCACTTACTTTTTATTGCCAGAATGTTTGCCATGTATTGTAAAGCTACGTTGCACAATATAAAAAATTAGTGTAACATTTCAAATTTCCACTATGCTGCTTGTTACACCTAGGGTTTTTATTCATGAATATCATGAATATCATTAAGGGGGTTACACACTATTAAAACAGCAAAAAATCCCTTAAAAACATGAGTTGATCACTTGATTTTAATAGTGTGTGACCCTGTGTGACCCCCTTATGATATTCATGAATACAAACCCTAGTTACACCTTACTCAATTCTCTGCAAAAATCTCCACATTTATTAAAGCAAGTCAAATTTCATATTTTTATATAATGTCATATTATAAACTAATATCATTGTTATCACCAGAAAGATATGATTTTGTACATAAAATTGATGGTGAAATGCGTAGTAATGCTAATTCCATTGGTAATTGTGATAGCATAATGGACACTGTAAAACAAGCCATTTTATTGGCCAAATTTTTGTCGATCTTATTTCAAATCATCACACAAAACTAATTTTTTGATTGGTTTTTGAAAATTTTTAATCACATTTCTAAAATGTTACACATGCTCATTTGAATACAAACCCTAGTTACACCTTACTCAATTCTCTGCAAAAATCTCCACATTTATTAAAGCAAGTCAAATTTCATATTTTTATATAATGTCATATTATAAACTAATATCATTGTTATCACCAGAAAGATATGATTTTGTACATAAAATTGATGGTGAAATGCGTAGTAATGCTAATTCCATTGGTAATTGTGATAGCATAATGGACACTGTAAAACAAGCCATTTTATTGGCCAAATTTTTGTCGATCTTATTTCAAATCATCACACAAAACTAATTTTTTGATTGGTTTTTGAAAATTTTTAATCACATTTCTAAAATGTTACACATGCTCATTTTTATTTATTTTTTTATTTCCATTTAACGAATTATAATTAAATTCGCATTACAACAAATTTTAAAATTTACTTCACATATATATATACATGTAAAAACATATAAAACGCGATTAGTAATTTTAGTATAACAAACTTTTAAATGTAATAATTTTTTATATAGTTTCAAATTAAATTACGTGCAGATGATTGAATCAATTTAATCTT